GGTGTAGAGTTAGAAGTGCCCAATATGTGGATCTAGACATTTCTTTTGTTTATTTTAAGTATCCCACTAAGAAGATAGCTGCTCACTCTATTCACTTTCTCTCCTCTTGATAATAATGTGAGTTAGGGAAATTTGTGGGTCTTTCTCTTTGACCTTTTGATTTGCACATCCAGATTTCAATCATCTAATAACTTCCATATCAAAATACCATGGAAATCTGTTTCTTCCTTGAAGTTATACACAGACATATGCATGACAGCCCAGAGCTTCACTGGTTGGTCCTACCTGTCACCAGCCTATCTGATCTGAATCAGTTTTCCTTGCCTCCTAACTCACCTCATTGCGCCCATTCTTGCCTGACCCCTTTTCTGTCCTCTACACAGGATCCAGTATGATCTTACCATGGAAACTGCCTTCATTTATAATCTTCAAAAGCTTGGCATTGTATTTATAATGAAACCTAGCCTCCTCAACATGACCTATGATCCTGTTTGCCACTTGCCTGATGACTTATTCTTGTGGTTCTTTATTTCTGCCATACCTCTCCTTCTCAGAGCTTTGCACACACTGGCCCTCTTTCTGGAAGTGTCTTCTCTACTTGTCATAGTGGTGCTCATTCTCAATCACATTCTCACATAGGGCTTTCCAAACCTTCTCCTTAGAAGTAGGCTTGCCATACCCCTATCCTTAACTGACTAAGCTTCCTTATGTTTTCTAAAACTCTGATCACAGTTACACTATTTTTTCAACCCCTCCACTGGGGCTGTTCCCTGGGGCTTTGTGTACCTTTATTAAATGAATAAAAACCTCTAGTTGATAGACTTTTCATGATAGACAAGATAAATATTCACTTTATTACTGCTGGTAGGAATTTAAGTTGGTACACTTTTTTTGAAAATAAATTTGGCAATGTGTATCAACAGCCTTAAAGCAAGTTTAATCCCTTCAGTCCATTTTAACAAATTTATTATAAAAATAATGAGCATTTTGGTACAGGACTTAATGACAAGATGCAGCTTAAAAAAAAAGAAAGCTGAATAGTAAGAAACAAATGGAGTATCTTATGGTTCAAACTCTCTCAATGTGAAATGCTGTGTCATTCACATCAGGGTTCAATATTTAATGAAAAGGCAGAATAGAAAACTTTATATTACAACTTTGCTTCAAAACAAATATGCAATGGAAAAATCCTGAAGTATAGTCCTCCCAAAATATCAAGATAGGCCTTCCCAAGATATCCAGAACAGACCTTCTAAGAATGTGACCTTGGCATGTGATTTATTTTGAGCTAAGGTCAATGGAGACCCTGTGGATTTCAAGAAAAATAATTACCATCACCTTAACTACCAAAAAGAATGAAGTTTGGGGCCATGGTTCAGACTTAAGTTTATCTCCAGAAATAACCTTTCTATCAGAAAAACTTATTTATATGACAGGGAAAACATCTAGTTACAGAGCATCTGATTTTTGTCACATAAGTGATAAAACTACCTCTCTCTTTGAAGCCCTAGGCACCTACCCCATTTCTTATTTTGGGATAAAAGCCTTTGGTTTGTCCTACCTACTCTAGAATTTAGTTATGAAGATTTTCTATAAGTAATTAAATTTGTTCTTTTCCTCCTACTGATCTATCTGATAATAATTTGATGTCCAACCAGCCTGAGGGATGAGGGAAACTTCCTCTCTGCCCCTACAAATCTTCTCCTTGCTCCCCACCCCCAAGTAATTGTTCTTTAGCTTAGATATATTACTAGGTAGTGGACATGTGGGGATATTTTTTTCATTCTCAAGTATTCCAAATTTAAAAAATGAGTTACTATTTTAGAATTAAAATAAATTGAGGATTGTTTAATAAATGCAGACTCATCTTTATTTCTGAGTTACTTGGCCACACAAATCAGATTTAAATTAATAGTTCTCTAAAATGCATCTAAAATGTGCTCAATGAAGCTGTCCCTTCACAAAATACCTTCTTATGTGAGATTTTATTGCCTTTTTTCAGTCTACTACTTAATAAAGCTATGTGATATGTCTCATTTCTGTGATTCTTTAGTGTTTTTTTTTTTTACAAGACAGGGAGTGGGGCATCCCAAAATCCCCAAACCTGCCTGCTCCAAATAAGTTTTGCCATCCTCTGCATCATGACAAAACATACAAGATCTTAATGGAAAGAAATGCTGATATAATTAGTGTGCAACAAAGAAAAGGGGAAGAAAATAGTTTCCTAACAAAGCACTTGATGTTATCCATCCCTTTGTGGTAAATGTCCAGCCAAACAAGGTTGACCTGAAGCTGGGCCACTGAGGCCCAAAAGCCTGCAACAAATCTAAGGTACCTTCTAGGGTAGGAGCAGAAGGGGCCCAGCACCTCTGGGACAAAAGGAACAAAATCAAGATAAGAGAGACCTCAAAGATCTCTCACTCACATCTGTTTTAAATAGTCCAGGACCAAGACGCAAGTGTAGCTTCTTCACGTGTCTCTCTGCTCCATGTGCCTCCTTCTGGCTCTCCAGCCTGCTTCCTTCCTCTCAGACTTTCTCCAGCTTTTCCTGTCAGCTCTGCCTTCCCTTGGGTGGGGCAGGAAACCTGGAGCCCTCCCCCCTTCACCTTTCCTGGGGACTACCCTGTTACACTTATACAAATATTTGAGTGTTGAGTTTTTTGAAGAGTATTTATGTATAAATATGAATGTTGTTTCAGATAGGTTCCTGATGTGGATTTCTACTTCAGTTTTTTTCTCTTTCAAACTTAACCCCATCCCCAAGTTAAATATCTTACAGGAGAGTGCTTTAGTGTCTTCCACCGGCTATAGCAGGACTAAAAGCTGTCAATTGTCACAGCCAAGAGTGTGGGGACAACTTGGAAGGAAATAGTGAGGATAAATGACTTGGTTGAAGGTTAGAAAGTGTTAGTAACCTTGCTGGAACTGGACTGGGAAGGCGCTGATGATGCTGCCTGGAAAAATTTTTATGAAACAGTAACAGGGTGGTCCCTAGGAAAAGGGAAGGTCCAGGTTTCCTGCCCCTCCCAAAAGGAGGGTGGAGCTGAGGAGAGAAAAGGAGAAAAAGAAAGGGAATCTGAGGAAGAAGGAAGCAGGATGGAAAGCCGGAAGGAGACCTGAGGAAGATACATGGAGCAGCAAACATGTGATGGAGAAACCGTGCTTGTTTCTTGGCCCTGGACTGATTGAGGGTGATGTGGGTGAGAGACCTGTGGGGGAGGTTGACTATGGCAGTGTGTATATTGATTTTGATTCTGCTCTTTTCCTCACAGATTTGTCTGGCCATTTCTGACCCTTTTTTTTATGGGTCCCGGCCAGAAGGTGCTTTAGCCTTGTGGCAGGCTTTCAGGTCCTGCTTTGGGCCAATCCCTTTTGGGTTGACTTTTGTCCACAAGGAGATGGGTAACTTCAGGTGTTTGATTTAGAAATTATATTCTTTGTCTTCTGTATTGTATATTCACTGTATTAAAGTTCCTTTCCATTAAAGTCTTATATATTTTGTCTTGATGCAGTGGATGGCAGAACCTATTTAGAGCAGGCAGGTTTAGAAGTTCAGTGGTGCCCCTCTCCCTGCCCTGTAACAAAACCTGTGTACAAGTAGAGGTTAATGGCCTTGAAGACAGCGACACATTTTTTTGTAATGTAAATGTACATGCACAGTGCACATTGGTCATCACAATCTGTTTACATGAAGTTGGTAATTCCCCCACCTCTTCCATGCTTCTAAATGGGACCTTTCAGAAAATGACAGAGTATATGTAGCCCTAAATTTCCCATTTCCTTTCTAGAAAAACTTCTCTAAGTGCAGATTGGAGGAGAGGGGGAAGCATAGGCTTCTGAATGGAAAACATTTCACCAGATATCATTTTTCTGCTTTTAATCAGTCTGCACTAGGGTATAGCTACTGAACGACAATTCTTTCGTAGAAACCCCAACTCCAATATGGGAGTAAAGACTCAGGGTGCAGAGATGGTGAGGGACAGTTCAGAGAGCAAATTCCACATTTTCAGACCTAGAAAAGTAAAACCAGTGGAAGAAGACAAAGAATTTAAATGACATTATCATTTTCTTGGGTCTTATGCTTGGCATGCTATAAATCATCAAATTAATTAGAATACTACAATTAGATCTGGTTTTATAAAATATATTTCATTTAAAAATAAGATCTCACTGGGGCTATCAAGATGGTAGTGTCATACAGAAGTTACCCTACATTAATGTCAGGGGGTAATTTTCAAATGTTTGACAAAAAGACAATACCACTATTTTAAGACATAGGGATTCTTTAGTGATGTTGATTATAGATGGTTGATTGAGCATCTGGAGTTGGATATGCCAAGTGGACTACAGTTCAGAATTGAAGAAACTGCTGGCAGAAGTGGAAGATGATCTGAGAGGGAAAGAGAAATTCAGATGGTAGGAGGGGAGGAACTAAAAGACTCATCAAGAGGAGTCAGGGGTCTAGAGGGTAACCAGGTGGTGAGAATGTTAAGAAGGATGTTTCTGAGTCACAATTGAGTTCATCTGTGAGGCCATGGTGTAAAGTTGTCATCACTTCCATCTCTTGAAAACCTTTAGCTGATTTAGCCATTTCTTTTTTTTGCAAGGTAATTATGAAAATATCTTAACAAATAAGTTATATGTGAATTCTCAGAAATCTCAGTGAGGTCAATGGACTATTAATGGGGCATGGATATCTGTGTGGTTCTATTTATAGCTTGAGGATCAGAGAGAACCTAGCAGATGCCCAGATTACCCACACTGTTTAATACAAGTGAGCTCTATATACATATAATACATCATTCTTTCCTACACCATTACCTTGACATTCACATGTTTTGAAATATGGGTATGGAGATGAAATCATATAGAAAACAGTCAAATTTCTGCCTTAAATATAAAACATTATTAAGCATCTTTCAGACAGTTCTCTTGCTTGTATTCTGGTGATGTCCCTACTGAAGCTATCTCCTGGCTGGTGGACAGAGGATCGAGAACATCCCCAATGTGCAGCTGGGAGGGTGAAGAAGTCAGGTGGTCTTAAGTATACATGTTCTTGTCCCACCAGCCTGCAGAGGCAGAAAAGGGTGTTAGAAATGGGAGAAGTTGTTGAAGTAGAGACCCAGCATCTCAAAATCACAATGTTACTTACTGCCTGGGTACCTTCTGATCAAAAGTTTTCGCATCTCATCATACACCCAAATCAGGATGGCGTGTGGCACAGCCACAAACCAATACTGAGGCCTGGAACCAAAAAGGGACATGAGACTCAGTGAAGACACAGGGAGGACCTGGTCACTGCCACTGGGGAGGGGATTTCTCTTTCACGTTCTCTGTCTCACTGGAGAGAACAACAAATTCATTAGGTCACAAAAAACAAAACTGGAAAGCTCCTTATTGAACCTGGAATGTGAAGGCTATCAGTAGCATTAGATGAGGGTAGAGAAGGGATGGTGAGGTTTCGAAAGCCCATTTCCTCTCCTGGAAAGCAGGTTTAAGCCTTTGACTTACATTGGAAAGTATTTTGTTTTCTCTCTTGAAAGACTTGAGGGAAAGAACTGCCAGAATCCTGCTTCATCTCAGAAAGGGGGTGGTTCTTTTCCCCCACTGTTGAGGTGGAACTCACCTGATCATAGTGAAATTCAGGGCCTTGATGCTTCCCAAGCCATAGGAGAGGATTAATGCAATGATGACCTGTGAGGCAATTCCCACCCAGATGACTTTATTTCTACAAGACACAACAAAGCAAACAGATTCTTAATTCCCAGGGCCCAAGGATCCTTGCTCAACAGAGTGAGTGCCTCATTCGTTGTAGCCCTATCATGCTGGTGGTCGAGCCCTCGGGACAGATATGGGTAGTACCTGAAGAGGCCCTGCTGTAAAATGGAATTCCTTCGGGTTTTCCTGATGATCAGATCAGCTATTTGCTGGACCATGATGGCAACAAAGAAAGCCGTGTAGCTTGTCCATTCCAAGTATCGCCTCTGATGCCTGGTCTGTCAATAGACAAAGAAAGCAGGGTTGTGAATAGGGACTTCAGGGAAGTTCTCATGCACTTCTGTAAAGTTTCACTTTCACCCCACCTTACTATGGCTGAGAAATGATCACCCTCTTGTCTTTGGAAAGAAACATTTTTCCTTTTAACCAGTGTAGGATTTGGGTGATAATTTAATTGATTTGATTGAGCAGTGGGCAATGTTGAACTGGATACTTTTCCATGATGTCCAAAGTTAGAGTGAAAAATAGCCTAAGTATCTAACTTGAGAGAGGAGCCTGCACCCTGGCAAAGGTCAAACCAATGTAATCTAGGATTTCTGGGTCTTCTTCACTAAACAATGCTCCCCTTCCCTGTCTCATGAAGGTCTCCAGAGGGAAGAGTTCAGCATCACCCTGACAAGGCAGTGACAGAAAGGGAAAGGCAGGGATGTGATGGCAGAGCCCCCTCACCCATTCCTGCCCATAGCTGTCTTCCAAGTCATTCACGGTGTCATCTTCCCACTTCACCCGCAGGTTTAGGAGGGTACTGGGGCGGAAGCCCTCCTGCGCATACACAGTGAAATATACCACAAAGGCTCCCAGGGCCTGCATCAGACCTGAGAAGTAAAAGAGACGAGGGTCGAGCTTCACAATGGCTTCAGAATGGGCTTGCTTTCTGGGTTCCTCCATCTCCCAAACCCCACAAGGAAGCAGTGCTGAGTGTGACAGGAATGGGCTTTTGTGGTTCCTTGTGTGTCACATGGAAATGACCCCATCATACCAATGTGCAAGTAGGCGTATGTGACAAGCTGCTGGTTCACCAGTCTGTCTTTTTTCTTGTGGCGAGGCTTCCTATTCATGATGTCACTTTCTGCCTTCTCATAAGCCAAGGCAATGGAAGGAATCTGAGGAGGAGAGAACCTGGGAAGTTCACCCTGCACACAACACTATGTGGTGTGATAGCAACAAGTGGGCAGGCTGGGGATGGAGTGGTGGTGGGCTGGGGCAGCAGCACCCAGGGTACTGGCAATGGAGGTGCCTTGTATGCAGAGAACTAGAGAACACCCAGCTTTAAAGGCAACTTGTCTTGTCACCACCATGTGCTTAGTTCTAAACCTCCTATTCTGAAGACTCTTGTCCCATACGGGAAACCTCTTAGAACTTCTCCCCTCAGGCACACCACAGAACCACAGTGTTTCTCTCATAGGTCCCCACCTGGAGGGCACTAAACCAAGCTGTAGGCTTTCTGATCCCCAAGGTCTGAGGCTAATGCCAGAGAATCTCCATTTCGCATGAGTGTTCAGGGGATGCTAAGGCCTCACTAGCGAGAGAAAATGAGTGCATCAAAAGGGCCTGGAAATGATGTGACTGCCAACCTTAGGGATGTCAGATTCTCATAAACCAGAGGATGAGTCTGCCTGAGATGTGGGGCTCACTGCCTAATGCATCAAAGGGGAGCACAGAGTTACCAGTCCAGGTTGAAACTTCTCTCCCTGTGAACTAAGTTTGTTCCCTGGTGCAATCCAAAGCCATGTGATGAGTGTTACAGAGGTTTCCTTAATGGATACACACCGGACAAGGGAGATTTAGGTGGATTTAGTGTCATTCAGTGCTTGCACTGTGTGTTCATGAATTGTAACTTCTGACTGTGTTCAAATGAGGGGATTCGAGATCACAGATTCTTTCACTTAATAGGGGCAGCTATTATGATTTGAGCTATGGGACACTCAGCACACAAGGGCATTGTTGGAGAGCATAGACCAATGGAGATGTGGGACTAATATCCTATGTTTTTTTGGAAGGTAACTCCTGTTTTAAAAAAACTCTTAGATGGAGAGTCATGTTTTAAGAGCCAGACATTTGACATATCTTTAGTCCTGTGGTCCAAAGAGTAGAGGGTGACCCAGCAGAATTGCTGTCACATAATTGCTAGTTAGAAATGCAGAACTTTAGGGCTCTCCATCAAAGTCTGAGAGGTACTAATTTGGTCCTGCTCCTGGCCCTGGAAGGTAATGACTCAGAAGTTTACATTACTGAGGTGGTTAACAGATCCTGCTACTTACTATGTCCGTGCCCAAGTCAATACACAGGGTGGTGATGGTGCCAATGGGCAAGGGCAGCCCAGCCATAATGTAGATCAGGAAGGGGCACAGTTCGGCGGTATTCTTGGTCAGGGTGTATGCGATAGTTTTCTTTAGGTTGTCAAAGATCAGGCGACCTAGGCAAAGAGATTTTTTTCTTACAAGATTTTTTTCTTTCTTGTTCCAGGTGATCCCAGTCCTGGGTGAGGCCACCGTTACTGTCACCTACCTTCTTCTACCCCTGTGACAATGGATGCGAAGTTGTCATCCAGCAAAACCATGTCGGCTGCATTTTTGGCTGCATCTGAGCCTGCTATGCCCATGGCAATCCCTATATCTGCCTTCTTCAGAGCTGGCGAGTCGTTCACTCCATCTCCTGTCACAGCAACAACGGCATCCTATGGTGACACAGTGAGTAAAGGGGAGTAGAGTAAGCAGGGTCCAGGGGAACTAAAGATTTGGCTGGGGAATGACCAGCCAAATCAAGGCCCTTATGGGAGGAGAAAAAAAGACTAGAAGTCCCAGAAGGGAAAACAAGTAACTTTAAACCAGACACGTTCCCATAACTAAAACCCACATATGTGGGTAAACATGGGTATCTCGTACCTTGTTTTTACACTTTTGGCTTGATATCTTAAATCTTTGAATTTTCCTGTCCCCACACCCCTTGCAGTACCAACTGCCTCACTGTCAGAAAACCCTCCAGGGATTGTGCAGGCTATCAGAGGAGGGTAGAAACATCCCCTGAGGTTGGTAATGTGAAGCAATAGGGATAGCAGTGAGCAGCCTCTGGATACATTTCAAAGGTGACCAGCCCCAGTACCAACCTAACCTCTGACCTGCCTTCTGCTAGAAATGGTTTGCACCCACCTGTCTCTGACAGCCCTCCACAATGATTAGCTTCTGCTGGGGTGATGTCCGGGCAAAGACAATCTCCGAATAGTTGGTCAGGAGATCATCTAGCTGCTCTGGGCTCATGTCCTTCAGCTCCATACCAGTTACTACTGCAGCTTTGGCATCCCTAGAAAGGCCAGAGTGACCTAGGTGAGACCAAAGGCTGGAACTCAGGTTGAAATACTTTCTGGCCAGGGTGGAACCCAATGTTCTTGATACTCAAACCCTAGTTGGTGGCAGGATTAGGGATACTAAGGATGATCTGAGAGCCATAAACTGAGGGTAAAAGTTAAGGTCTTTCCCTGCCATCACATAACAATAGGAATGAGTAAAGCAATATTCTCATTCCAGATACTTTCTGGGTGATATTTTACTTCACAAGTAAAAGAAGGGTTAAAAAAAGTCTGTTTATGTTTTGGGTACTAGAATTCAGCTTATGCCAAAACACACAGGTAACATTTTTTTTTCTATTTTCTAATTTACAGAAAATTATGCTAGGAGTTAAGACACATTTATGGAGGTCTACTTTGAGGAAAACCATTATCTGCTAACTCTAAGAATAGTGCTCTCAAGGCTATTGATTATGCAGATCTATTGTGCTGTGTCTGCTACAGTCATCTGGAAGGATTGCACTATGCTCAATATAGCTGTGCTTGCCTCCTTTGGTTCCCTCCAGGCCACCAGACTCCTCTGCTCTGTGCCCTCCATGATGCCCCCTCCCAAGCCCTACACATACCTTGCTTCCCTTGCCAGAAATGGACACCTCTGGCTTCAATATTTCAGTCTAAAATCTCAGTGTACGCACTCTAAGTATCAAATACTATGTGCCTGTTTTCCTTTACACATATTTTTTTTTTTCAGTTTTGGGATTTTACTTTAGGTCGTTTTTCAAAAACTCTTGCATTAAGTGTTGTAGTTCTAGCACTTGATAAACTGCAGGTCTTCCTAATGTTCTGGTAGAAAATATAAAAGTAAGGTAAGGTGGACAGGATGGTTCCTGGCCCTCTCTTCCTACTGCCCCAACTGCAGAAGTACAATTACTACACAATCAGGAAGCTAGAACTGAAAAATAAGTTAACTGAAAACATTCATAAAAGAACCTAGTTTAGAACCTGCTCTCCAGTTTAGTGTGGTTATTGGCATAAAAATGTATAGTTCTAATATTTTGAAATCAAGATAAGGAAACAAATGATCCAAATCCATTTGTACAGATGAATGTTATTTGTACAAAGGAATGCTGCAAAATTCTTAGGAGTCCAGTTATTGTTCTTCTTCCCAGAGGCAGTGACTGGGTGGTTGTTTTATCTGCCTTAATTTTCTGTAAGTTATAATTTATCATCTGACATCTTTGTATCTCTAAAGGATATAAACTGGGGTAACTGAGAAGAGGTTCTTTGTGCTCTTCTTCTTACTCCACACACATGAGAGTTTAATGAAACCAATGACATTTATTTTCAAATTAATACTACGGCATCTTGTACTCATTTAAAATAACAATAGTCAGGTTCCTCTCCAGCCAGAGCTAGGTCCTTCATACATTGTGCATCACTTGACTGTACTTATCACATCACAATTCTTTATTTTTGGCTGTCTGGCTAAATGGAAGGCCCCACTCTACCCCCGCCATGCCCCAAAAGGGGGAAGCTGGTGCTTAGTCCATTCCTACCAGAGTTCTGCATCTCTCACAGTGCCTGAGGCATACTGGGCACTCAACAATTAATTGCTGAAAGTAAGACATGAATAAGTGGATAGATGACTAGATTAAAGGATGAATATGATGAAAAGAACTAGGGGACACAGGAAATACCATGTCTTCCCTTAGGAAGTTACTATTTTATTTACTATCACATATAAAAGAAGAGTATGTTTCTAGCTTGACATCATGAAGTCCACTGAATAGACAATACACAAAATAGGCACTAGGGCTGTATAAACACAAAACCCAAAGGGTTCTTAATATTTCTGATCACACAAGCTGAATTAATTGGAAGCAGTTTCATTCCAACTTTTCTTACTCTAAATTGGGCACTTAAGTTTTCAGCTCTAATCTGGGCTTTGAACTTCTGTACAAGGAATATATGAAAGGTAGTTGTGGTAGTGATACAGTGTCTGGCATTGAGTTTCTGAGTGAATGAATAGATATATGAATTACAGAATGAATCAGTATAGCATCACTCTGAGTGAGGTGTGGCATAAAGAGAATTTGCTCCAAATAGCACAGCTTTTTAGGGCCATCACGGGCAATGGATAAGAAATTGAGGGCTTACCGCTTGTTAACTTGCTCCACAGCAATGTTGAGACGTTTTGCAATGTCTTCCACTGTCTCGCTGTTGGCTGAAATGATACCTACACTCTTGGCAATGGCTTTGGCTGTTATTGGATGATCACCTGTGACCATAATAACCTAGAGGACACATAATGAAAAAGGCATCCAGACAAAAAGGAACCTCGCTGGTGAGGGCAAGGCCAATCAGTACTGCTTCTTCTGATCTGTGAGAATGTGATCAATAATTGATTACCTTATGGGCAGTTCATGATTCTTATATCAAAGGTACAATCATTTTTGAAGGATACTGTGATCCCATTGGGTATCCCTTTGGTCCTAAGTTTCTTACATTTCCTTCTCTGACATTAAAAGAGCCCTTGCCCTTTGTTGTTGCTGTATTTTGAGAAGGGGCTGATAGAATTCTACTTGGGACAGTCTCCTGCTGCTTCAGCAGTCTTCACATTAAACTGTAATGGAAATTATATTTGGACATTGTCAAAAAGACAAATGGATTATGAATATTGGCTCTCAAGATCAATCACTAAATTTTTTTAAGAGATATATTTATTTATGCATATGGAACTGGAGTACAGGCCAGAGGTGCAGGGGTGGTAAAAGGATTCACCAGAGACAGAGTGGGGAGCATAACAGGCAGATCTAATGAAGTACACTGCTGAGGGGAGCAGTGGGTGAGTCAGGAGAGGTCTGCCGTACCATGTGGATCACCTCCAGGGTGGGGATCGAACTCATGCTGAAGGGGCTTTAGCTCCTTAGTGCTGTGCTTTTAACCAGTGGCACCACCAGGGAGGGCCCAAGCACTAAATATTTTTACTATCATAGTCTAGGGCAAGACACGTCAGTTCATGGTACAAGAAAAGAACTCTTCCAGTTACTCTGATAGTAATTCCACACAGACAGAATCATGCTGTTTGTATGGGATAGTTATTGAAATCCTACTCTAGTAAAAATAGAGTTGAGAAAAGGAATTATGATATTTACTTGAAGAGTTCTAAATATTTGTCATAGGAGATCTCCTGTAACAAACATCTTTACGACACAACATAAAAGGAGGATTTCTTAAATGAGAAAAGTAAGTCCCACCTTAATTCCTGCACTCCGGCACTTAGTGACTGCATCAGGTACTGTGGACCGTGGGGGATCAATCAGTGACATGAGTCCCACAAAACAGAGGTTGGAAGTAGGAAAATTCATGTTATCTACATCAAATGAATAAGTTTCTGGAAACTCATCTGCTGGTAGGTAGCGATGGCAAAAACCTAGAGTGGGGATGAATTTGAGAGCCAATCAAAATTGGGTAAGAGGGAACAGAAGAAAAGGAGGGTCACTTTCAAATATTCAGTCCACTATTTTGCCAATACTTTAGAATATCACAGAACTACTTAATTTCTTCATTTTAATAATGATTGTTATTGTTAAGGAAGACATATTTTCTCCCAAAACCATGTCTTTTGTGACCATCAAGTTCTCTATTACATTTAAAGAGTGGGCAGTCTTCATTTCTGGAGATGCCCCAGCACAGTGAGGATTACAGGTAGAGATATGTTTAAGTACCTGGTGATCAGGAAAGACTTCCCCAAAAAGGTCACATGCAAGATGATTATTGAGACAGGCATTAGATATTGTCCAGGGAAAGAAGGGAGGGCTGGATGTGGGAAGGCAGAAACAAGAGGAATTATCATATGTGCTACTAATGCAAAATGAGGCAAGACCCTGGAAGATGAGGTATGGCACAGAAGTAAACTTCTAAATCAAGGTAAGTGTGAGAGTATGGCTGCAGGAATGGAGAAGGACCTTCATCTCTCAGAAGATACCTGCCCTCACAGGCTGAGGGAAAAGCAATCACAGTGTGTGGTGGGACTTTTGTGATCACGTGACTTTCTCATTTGTTTTTATATCAAATTATAATTAGCATGGTCTATGGTTTTATACGTTTCAGCAACTAATGATTTGGAGAGCCAAATTAGAATCTCAATTCCTAGATGGCTCTAGTAGATGGTGATCAATCTTGCATTGAGTCCATAAACTTACAGGTCATTTAAAGCTTATTAAGAGCATTATCATTATCATTTATCTCTCTTATCTGCTTTAAAAACTTGAATATCCTCTAGAAACACTTTACGGATTTCAGTTCTATTGGCAAGAACTTTCATAATGTTAAATGAGCCTTATCATAAACCATGACCTTCTGTTACCTGAATTCACCCTTCTGGTTTTCTGAGGTGCAGGATTGTCAACCCATAATTGTAATGACAAGGTTTGTCCTGTCATATTTTAAGTCACCACTACCAGGTTCTTGGCATTGTCAGTGTATCTCTTAGGCTACTTCCACCTCTGCAATCCCCGTCTCAGCTGCTGGTAGCACTTTCCCTTAATAATGAAGTGGATAGCTTCTTCTTCTTTTTTTTTAAAATTTACTTTTCCCTTTTAATATTGTTGATAAGTCCTACCAATCCAGCCTCCATAGAATCTCCTTTATCTGATCATCTTTCATGTCTTCGGTGCCTTAGATCAAACTTCAATCCTCTTTCCCCTGAATGAGGCAGGGGAAAGAGGATTGCTGAGACTCAGGACTCTACTTTCAGGTTGCTGCTGAGAATTATTACCCTTTAGAAAACACTGCTTACTTTAGTAGCTTCTCAGTAACTGCAGAGTGACATGACAGCTTCTCACCCATATAAGCACTCCATATCCTGACTTCCTATCTGTGTTTTCAGCACTGTTTCCACAATTGTCACTTCATCTACCTGCGCCACTACTCACAGACTGGCTCTCAGATCAGGCACATGAATGCCCATGTTCTTCCACATCTGAACTTGGCCTATGTGGTTTCTGACACTGTGACTACTTCCCACTTCCCTTCAAATACTGTCATTCAAGGCCCAATTCACAAGGAAGCACCTTCCCTGATAAAATCTTCCCCAATTTTCCTTATAAGGAAGTGGCCTGACCCCTGGTGATGTCACATAGCATCTCTGATGTGTTTGACACAGTGTATACCTTATTTTTTATGATACATATGGATGTCACAGCTACTCTACTAGACAGAAGCTGTCTCAGTTGTGTCCTGAGCCATCACTGAACTCCCTGATGATGATCCGTGAGAGTCTATTGCAAGGACTTACCCAGCACGCGCTCCCCGAGGCCCCCTAGCTCCATGTAGGCTGTATGGAAGGCCTCAGTGGTGTTCCTGTCCAGAGGCTGCTCTTGGCCATTGATCATAATGGTGCTGCACTTTTCTAAAATCCGCTCGGGGGCCCCTTTCATCACTAGGAGGAAGCGCTGGTCATTGGGGTCGTCAGTTTCATGGATGGAGAGCTGGAGGGAGGTGGTGAACAGATCACTATAGCCTGCCACAAAGTGACACCATCTTCACCATAAATATCTGGGATAGTCAGATCTTTCGATTAATGACATGACACTGGGCTATATGTCCATGAAGCATGAAGCAGAGTGCTTTCCACAGGTGAGTTCTAGACTTTATATTTTGTGGTCAAGGAATAAGCAGAGTGACACTTGATCGCAGTTTGAGTTTACACTAAGTGGAAATCACTTTTCACATAGAGACTGATTGCTGTATGCAGTCAGATGGGATGCGGCTATCAACCTCTGAAATCCCATCCCCTGACTGTAATCTCTGGTACTCCTGGGGTCAGGGGCTGCAATGTGCATGTTGCCTCCATGCTGTCCCTCACTATTTTGAGCAGTAATTTTTTAGAACCAAGTGATTCTGAACTCAGGGAGCATGAGGGCAACAGGACTGCCTGTGTCTCTTCATCTGATTCACCTTATGGGGTCTGACTGACTGTCTAGGCAGGAAGAAATGGGAGGGTGTGAGGCACTGGACAACTCAAGGAAAGCCTGGAAGGGCATCTAAGGAATAGATATCATAAGTTGAACATTAATACCCTTAACTTTTTCACTTTAGTGAAAACTGGGGAAAATGTGAGAAGCATAAGACAATAATAAAATTACTAACTCTCAGAGGCTGACTCTTATGTAGCCTTTTTTATATATCAAGTACTCTTCTAAGGCTGAAAAGGGAATTTCAGAAAGTTGGACTGGGGGAGAGAATGAGTAATCTACAAAGAAAAATTCTAGTACCTGGGGGTCTATCAGTTAATTTTAAATAAGCAGTTCTTAGACTTTGGGATATCAGAGATGAATATGAATATAATAAAAAAAAAAGTAGAAGGTAAACACTTTACAGTCAAATGAAGACATTCAAAAGTAACTAATCAAACCACCTCAACCCAAATTATGTATTTGGTTTAGCTTGGTAAATCAAAACAAAAACCTCCCATTAATTATCATTTTAGAATTGTTACTCATACTATTTCCACGTATGTGGAACAAGAGATCTGGTTTCCTAGCTTTCATATTTTACACCCCATATTTTTGTTAGTTGTCTAACTATGATTCTTTATTGGTCTTTTAGCCACATAGATGTTAACAGAAATAATTCTTTTCTCAATTTCATCCAAACAAAACATGTGGGCAGCCACCAGGAACTTTTGCACAGTGTGTTTTATAGACTTGACTGTCATGTAAAGGCTGAATAGGGAGGCCTCACGCCTCACTCTCAGCCTCAGAACTTTGGGGAAACCATTCTTTGGGCTCCACTGTTATTTGTCTTAATGTGAGGAAAATGAAAATGTCTTATCATTGGTCACCCAGGAATGAGGAAAGATGGGAGTTAGCCAGCTTTTTTGAGTGGGTGGGAAGGAGAGCCTTGTCACTGCACATGGGCTGTTCATCAAGAGACAGCTAACTATCTTCACAGGGTAAGCTTTCCTCAAAGAGCCTGAAATAAACTGCTTGGCCTCTGTTTTGTGGTGGAGAAAATATAGACTTGGGAGTCACACAGATGTGTGAAAATCCTTGTACCACTAAGATGCCTGTTGTGATTCTGATCATGTCTACACCTTCTAATGGCCTGTTTTCTCACCTATTTATTGAGATGGATTCCTTCTAAAATCACAGTCTCATTGTAAGGACTAAAGCAGAAAGTACCTGACAAACTGAGGGGGCAGGAAATATCAGTTCTCTCAACTCCCCACCTGTCACTTATCCTTGTAGTACACCTGTCCTCTCACTTGTGCAAATGTTACCAATGGGAGTGGGAGAGGCTGGTGTGTGTGAGAGAGAAAGATTGTAGCCCTGACATGAGCCTGCCTTTCTCTTTTTCTCTCCCTGTTTCAGGTGAAGAAAGGACCCAGCAAAGGAAATCTGCTCTGGGTTTACCAGAATCCCAGACTCTGGCCCTGACTGCTATTTTTTGAGTTGAGTGTCATTCAAAAATATATATCAACCAAGAGAAATGCAGATAAGAAGTGTGTTTTTAGTGATAACAGGTTAGTTGTGAGAAAACACTCACCTGAAATTTGTTGGTTGAGTTAAAAGGGATCTCAGCTACTTTGCGATTCCGTTTCCTAATTTCCATCACATCTCCCAAAATGACCTCTGAGAATTTCAAGAGAGCAGTTTCTGAGGCATCTCCAACCACAACTTTCTGTAAATCAAAGGAAATATTTTCTGGGACCCAATACATCTCCTGTCTAAGCTCACAATGTATTCAGAGAGGGAAACTATAATGCAACTGGGGAAAGGCTGTAACCATAGTAAAAATGTTAAATTTAATGGCACTGCCCACTGGATTAGGCAAATTCATAAAAATTCAAACTAGGAGAGATGAGGTTTCATAAAAATGCAGCTATGTATCAGATCTGTAAAAACAGTGAATTAGTGATCTGTCAAAGCTGAGAAGAGTGAAGAGAATTTTCTTCAGGTCTTATCATCAGTCTCATTCTTTCTTACTCTTATTAGGTTGTAGAGATTAAATCAAGCACAAATAAGAGCAGAAAACATGACCTTCAAGTAGCCATGAGTGAGCCCCAAGATGTAGAAGCTTTACCTTCATGATGGGGACACTCTCCTGTCCTGACTTGAATTCAGCTCGGTTACACAACGTTATGATCTTTGATAAGGATGTCCAGGTTCCAGAGCTTTGATCAAAGATTTGATCTGGAAAAAAAGAAGGCCAGTGGAGCTTTGGGGGCAGGGTCTGTTCTCAAGGAAGCAGCCAGCCATCAACAGATACTGAGATACAGATCCATGAGGCATGTTGAGTTCAGTCCCCTCTGCTCCTGTCCCTGGCTTAAGTTAGTGGACATATTCCAAAACACTCACTTGAATGGTCCTCACTGGTGTCAGCCATAAAGATCTGATTATCAAACCACAGATGGGCCACGGTCATCCTATTCTGGGTCAGAGTGCCAGTCTTGTCTGAGCAAATGATGGAGGTGGAGCCCAGGGTCTCCACTGCCTCCAGGTTCTTCACCAGGCAATTCTTCTTGGCCATCCGTTTTGCTGTCAGTGACAGAGTGACCTGAACAGCAGGGAGAGAGTGAGTGAGAGAGCTATGGGAAGAATAATCACTGGGAACTCAAGTTCACAGATTTTCTGGGGAGTGGATCTAATGTCAGATAGAAGTGCCGTCACAGAAGTTTTACTAAACTGATTCAGCAATTGAGAAGCTACTATAAAGTGCAACGGGCCACCACCCTTTTGTATTAAGCACCAGGAACTTTTCTTTGTAAAGTTTTACCTCTTGGTGAACATGATCCTGAGGACTTCTGGGGGGCAAAGACACTAGGTAACTGTAAAGGGAACTAGGGTTGCTAACTCCTGTCACTCACAGCATGTGCCAAAGAACCTGTTCCAATTTGCTGCTCTTGGGGAATCAAGAGGTATTTGTACTTGTACTTAAAGATTATGAATTCTGTCTTTTAAAACCTCAGAGCCCAGGGGGATTACAACTGAGATGGGAAAAGGCACAAAATGATGTAAAAATAAGCTATTATAAAAATTAAAAAAGAAGAAAAAGAAAAAAAAAAAGCCACAAACCCCCCAAGATCCTAAAGCATTTTTTTGGCCCTAAGTTCTTCAGATGACTGTCTACTGGAGTCAAAGACTTCTTTTCCCTCTGCACAGGGCACAGCAGGCTGATGATCACTGGACCCTTTACATGTAACGCAAACATGAACTCTCTTTCCCCACGGCCAAGCCCCATAGGAGAGATGGGGTGGGGGCCTTATGTTTCAGGATGATTCTGATGGGTTCTTCAAAGGGAGGTCAAAAAGGTGAATTTAGGGGGTCAGATCAGAGAAGAGTTAATTGCTTTGCAGAAAAGAGTAGGAGGGATTCTTTCAGGAATCTGAGAGAGGGAGGGGGAGGGAGGTGAACTATGTCCTAAGTCCCTCAATTGTATAAAGTGCTACAGAAGTTAGTTTTCTTTTTTTTATTTTCAGAATGTGGAAATGTGAGAAAGGCATCAGACTTTTAGAAAACCTGGAATGGAGGGTAGAATCTATCTAAGGTTCTCAGCCACATTCATTCCTTACAGATAGTATTCCTGAAAACTAAAATGAAAGCTTTCAAGAATAATGCACTCAAGTGTTAACAAGGTCACAATTCTTTTTATCCCCTTAAGAAACAGTTCACTTGGAAAATTCCAGGGCTGTTTGAGATGGAGAGGTCCTGTGGCTCTGGAGAAGGAAGGATGCACTGTGGGGGAGCTCACCTGATGGAGTAGGATGGATTGTGTGAATAGGATTGGGGAAAAGGCCACCAAGTAGTCTGACTCACAGTGACAGTGGCCAGAAGGCCCTCGGGCACATTGGCTACGATGATGCCAACAAGAAAGATGATGGATTGCAGGACCCGATACTTCATGGACACCGCGATGATGAAAAAAAGGACACCAATGGCAACAGCCACTCCTGCCACAATATGGACAAAGTGCTCAATCTCGATGGCAATAGGTGTCTTCTCGTTTCCAACACCAGAAGCGAGGGAAGCGATCTGACCAATGATGGTATGGTCACCCGTGTTGATGACCATGCCAGTTGCAGTACCTGCAGGAGAAGAAGACAAGTTCTTCCAGGTCCTCAGTCAGAGGACAACAGCTGCTTGCCATCCTTTCTTGGGTGGTAACATGATCATCAACACATTACATTAAAAGCCAAGCATTAGTTACATGTTTGTACTTTGAGAAGCTCTGGGATGTCTCTGTGAGCTGCAAAGACACAAAGCCACAGGCCACAAAGCCGAGGGTGAAGTGACCTGGATGGGCACAGGCTCTGGCAGCAGCCAGACTCACCTTCCAGACAGGTTGTGGAATAGAAGCCAATGTTCTTGGTCTCCAAAGGACTTTCGTGGGTGAACTCACAGCAGCGGGATTGGGGCTCAGATTCCCCAGTGAGAGAGGAGTTATCCACCTTGAGGGAATATTGGGAACAGTTTAGGATCAGTTCCTGTAGTCTGTGCCCCAAAGCACTGAGATTGGGAGACACACAGGAGTATGAGCACATTGGGGGAACCTTGAGACCCTCACCTTACACCCTTGAGCAGACAGTAGCCTGATGTCAGCTGGGATCCGGTCCCCTCCTTTTATCTCTACTATGTCTCCCACCACCAGCTGTTCTGCTGGGATGGTCTTCTTCTCTGAATCTCGGATGACCAGAGCTTGCTGGTAAAGAAAATATGAGAATGAATCAGTTCCAGGATGATGCCAAACAGCAAGAATGGGGGCCCCACAGTTCACAGAGGCCACATGGCAAAAAGTGTAATCAAACATTCTTACTCAGGGCCCAAAGACCCCAGTAACTGTTTTTTCTGGAGATAGAGCTCAGAGAAATGTTTTTGAAGTAGAAAATACTGCTTGGCATATGAAAAAATGTTCAACATCACTTGTAATAAGGGAGATGCAAATTAAAACCACAATGAGATACCACCTCGCCCCAGTGAGAATGGCACAGCTTTAAACAACTAGCAACAACAAATGTTGGTGAGGATGTGGAGAAAAAGGAACTCTCCTGCACTCCTGGTGGGAATGCAAACTAGTATGACACTATGGAAAACTGGAGGTTCCTCAAACTGCTAAACATGGAGCTTCCCTACGACCCAGCAATCCCTCTCCTAGGTATCTACCCAAAAGACACAAAAATACTGATTCAAAAAGATACCTGCACCCCCATTGACACAAGCTATGCGACGGCTATCGTCTGACAGATTCCGGGTAGCTCGGGAAAAGCTCTAAAAGATCAGACTTTCCATGCTAACTTATGTTATGACCTCCCTTTTTTGTATGATCGTAATATCAAAATACTCTGAGCAACTTTCAGCCTACAATTGGATTGCCTCAGCTGCAAAAGGCCTGCCTGCCCTAACAAGCAAGCACTGCACCAGGGTGAGAAATTCCTCTGAAGTCAAAAGTGACTTAACAACTGGCTAATCAATAAAAGCAAAAGAGCTGTTTCTGCAAAGTCTCTCACTGCCTGATGGAGGAAAACTCAAATCTTATTCTACTATCTCACCTAGCCTCCTATTCAGCTTCTACAGAATTACTCAAACTTCCTACTGTCTGGCTTTAGATATGGAAATTCATCCAGGTTGCCTGTTTTAGAGCTAGTCAAGTTTTTTACCTGCTACACTTCAAAGCAATCCACAAAAGTCTTTCTGGCTAGTCTTTCAGGATTCTACTATCTAGTCTTTAGATAAGGAAATTCACCTATGTCTCCTATTCAGAGCAAATTATGCTTTCTACTGTCTAGACCTCAAGGAAACTTACTTAAAACCTTTTAGCCAGTTTCCTCAAAGTAGGAAACTTACTTAAAACCTTTTAGCAAGTTTCTTCAAAGAACTTTTCCGAAACTTGATTAGCAAGAAATTTGCTCTTCCTGCCTCCCAAGATGTCTCAGGTAGAAAAAACCATCAAATAATAGATAAGGATTAAAGGACTTTATTCTTATCTATCTTCACTATAGTAATATTAGTCTTAAACTTTGAGCACCTATGTATCTGTTCTTTAACCTTGATTTTAGAATGTTATAATCTCAAGTAAAGGTCAAATGACCCCAGACCATTCTTAGAAAAAAGGTGATTGTGATCTCAACCCCTTTCGTATGCTAATGCCATCCCCCTGCCTACTAGAAATGTATAAAATAAACCTCTGCTGAAGGCAGAGCAGGAAGATTTGCACCCAACTCCAACTCCCGTGTCTTCCTCGCACCCGCTCCTCTCCCCCTCTTCGAATCTCCGCATGCCGATGCCTTCCCATCTTAGGGTTCTGCCTGTGTTGCCTCCAGACACCTCAAAAGTTGGAGCTGGTCTTCGACACCCCATGTTTATTACTCCTTTATTCACAATTGGAAAGACATGTAAACAGCCCAAATGCCCAAAAATGGATGAATGGATTAAAAAGATGTGGTACATTACACAATGGAATATTACTCAGCAACCAAAAAAAAGAAACACATGTCTTTTGCAGCAACATGGATGGAGCTGGAAAAGATCATGCTTAGTGAAATAAGCCAGAAAGAAAAGGGAAAATACCGGATGCTTTCTCTCATAGCAGGAATATAACAGAACAGGCGAGAAAATAATGATAATGATGAACAGCTATATGCCAGGACATTTTGTGGGGAGTGGGATCAAAAATAGTGAGGGGAGGGAAATATACTGGACTTTGGTGATGGCACATGGGTGATTTGGTAATGAGAAACCCAAGGGGATTGCAACTGAGATGGAAAAATCCACAAAAACATGTAAAAACAAACTATTATAAAATTAAAAAAAAAAAGAAAACATTTGGTTCCACAGATGATGCAACAATTTTATGATTATTAGAACTTTTGAGATATGTCAGCTAGACTTCCCTTTAGAAAGTACTTCTTATTTTGTATACCAGCTAAGTAACTGGTATACATCTAAATTTAGACATGACTTAAAATTCACCTTTATGCTTCTTTATTATTCCCAATATATTAGCATAAAGACATATTGTAATAATGCATACTGAAGTTATTCTTTACTAATTAGCAAACAAATATAGCTCATTTCACAGTAAATAAATGAAATGTGAAATTATAATTATTAGAAATGATATATTCTTGTTGAATATACTATATAAGTGAAACCTAGGATATAAAAATTATTTTGTGTAACCAATACTAGTAATACAAATATATATCCAAATATAATTAATAATTGCATTATTACATACTTTATCAGTAATGTAGAGGCATATTTCATTTAAGAAAATTTCATATTATGTATCTTTTGTTTTAAGAAATTTGCCTTCATGTGATGTGATATATTACACATACATATATTATTAAACACTTATATTTAAAAAAAAAAAAAGAAAATACTGCTTGGGGCATATAGAAAAAATGAGAGCCCAGGACTGACTGGAAGGGGCTGATGAAGGATAAGCATTCCTAGCTGGGGGTTCAGTCTTCAGGGAGAGTTGGACCAATCTTGCTCAGGTTGGAGGAGGAGGATGATCTCCTATATCTCAACACACAAGGAGGCCTCCTTTCGCCCCCTCCAGCTGGCAACTCAATGGTAGGGACTGTGCGTATTGGCCACCTTGCTGAAAGGGTGCCTGATCTTCCTGGAGGACACACAACAAGGCTCCTGGGGAAAGAGGAAAGCAGATCCCCTACCCCTTTCCCTCTGAGAACATTTGGGGGCACTAATAAGGAACCTCAGAACCTAAGGAAAGCAAAAATGTTACAGATAAGAATTGGCATTTGGGCTTTTGGTACCAGTGATCGCCCTTCTTAAACTTTTAGTTTATTCCCCAGAACCTCCTGAATCACTTCTGCCAAGCTCCCAGTGAGAGGTGTTACGGAACAACACTTCTTCCACTTTGCATGTTTCTAAACTAAGCATGTTTCTCAATCTTCACTTGTTGATCATCTCAATTTTCTGTGAGAAGATGCAGAGGAGCGAGATAAGGTCACTTGCCCCTGACTTCTCGGGAAGCAAGGGCAGGCAGTGTAGAGATTAGACCCTTGTTTCTGTCTTCCTTCCTACATGAATTCACACAGCGACTTCTTCACCTGAAGTCACAGAGACCAGAGGGAGTGGACTACTCACTTGTGGAATCATCTTGCTGAAGCTGGCCATAATGTTGGTGCTTTTTGCCTCTTGGTAGTATGCAAAGATCCCTGTTAAAATAACAACCAGGACCAGTACAGCTCCCAAGTACAGCTAGTAAGGAGGAGAGGTGGGATCAGAAAAACAGGCATTAGGAAAGAGTCACACCAATGATGGAGCCATAAAAATTAAAGAGTGATAGAACTGTGTCCTGGTGGAATTTGCAAATTCCACATCCAATCATTGAAAGTAAAAAAAAATCAATGTCACATATGTTACACAGATGCATGGGAATCCCCCAAATCCAGTTTTAGGACAACTTCTTCATCCAAGCTTCTATCTCCCATCATCACTCATCCCACCCTTTCCCTGTCCCATCCCTGTGGTCCTCCTGCTGGGGTGTGGTCCTCTGGTAAGCACAGAACATGGCTTCCCAATTTGCCGTAATCTCTTAATGTCAAGTCAGCTGATTTGGCTTTGAGAATTTGGTTCTCAGTGGGCAGAGAGGCTCTCCATGATAAAGCAAGAGAAAAGCCTTTGAGGAGAAAGCCCCCAAATGCTTCTATGTCTATTTTGTTGTTTCCATCAACAACAGATGGAAACAACCGAGTGTCTCTCTCTTTCTTTTAAAAATGTATGTTTACACTACTTGTAAGACAGCAGTGAGATACTTTTTTTTTTTTTTACAATTGGGATGATCACTGCTCTTGTCAAGCTCCATAGTAATGTTCAGTAGCAGATTCCTACACTGAGCCCTGGCATTGCCCACTAAGGGTCACAGTTTACGGTCTATTGATCCCATCACAATTTCAGCAAATCCAAGAAACAGACCCCAGGGTCTTACATTGTCGAAGGATGTAGATGGGTCTTCAGAGTACTGAATCCCAAAGGCGATCCAACACAGGATGGCACCTATCCACAGAAGGATGGAGAAGCCCCCCATCATTTGCTTCATGAACTTGACCATCTCTGAGGTTTTCTTGGGTGGTGTGAGGACGTTGGGCCCATCTTTAGCTAGACGCTCAGCAGCTTGAGCGCCAGAGAGACCCTGAGAAAGAGTTCATTAAGGCAAAGCCCATCAGTTTTTTTACTGAAAAATTCCCCTACCTACTGGTACAGTAAATGGGCTCTCAGATTTGAATTTGTGGATTTGCCTTCTTTGACAAATTTATGACAGAATTGGTTTTCCCAGAGCTCTTAATTGATTGTGAGTTTGTTTTCCTTGCAATTCCTCTTCCTTGACAGGTTTAGGTTCAAGGAAAGGAATCCCAAACAAAAGCAAATGGTGAGAAAGCTTGCTGACACCAACTTCTCTTCCTCCCTGTGCTGCCCCCTGCCACCTCCCCATTACTCTTGCTGATTCCCCATTTTTGTTTGTCTTTGTGTAAATAAAGGCTGGTGCCCACTGTTCTCCATTTCAGCACTAACTTTTACTCCCTCCCTTTTGCGGACACTCGCCCACCTCCCCTTTTCTTCCTTGAACATTGTATAAATAGCCCTGTAACCTTGCCAAAGAGCAGGACGGTGGGCTTTCGGACATGAGGCTGCTGCCCTCCTCATTTGTCGACAAATAAAACCACTTTCCTTTTCCTCAAACTCTGTTTCCTTTTACTGGCTGAGGAAAACTGAGACCGGCCTTCGGTAACACTATCTTACAGCTGCTGTTCTGTTTCACAGTCTCAGAACATTGCCCCATTCTTCTAGGTACTTCCATACACCAGAACTGCCTTTGGAAAAAGCAATTTTGTCAAATCCCTGTCAGAATTCATTGCTTTCTCAGTGCACAGTTTACATCTCTTGTTCCCCAACAGAGAAGATGCTATGGCACTTGGTTATGCGGCACCTCCCTTCAGAACTGTCACTTCTGAAGACAGGAGGTTATTCTTTTCCCTCTCATGACTAACTCAGTATGTAACACAAATAGTAGATATTTTTGCTGATTTGAAAGATGTATGGGCATCTCCTGAGGTCAAGACACCAACACTTTTGAAATTTAGTTTGCATTTGAATTCACAGGAAGAAGCAACCACTTCCCTGGAGGCAAGGTTTGAGAAGTGAGAGCACACAGTGGAGTCCCTCCTTCCTAAGGAAGGTGATACATGGTTGTTACACAACCTTGCTTTTTAGGCCTGGTTTTTCATTCTTTGATAGTCCATTATACCTTTAGTCATGGTAATCAGGAAGCATCTGAACACTTCTGGGGACACCAGAGTTTTTCTTCTTTCACGGTGAAATAATTATTCACTAAAGCAGTTGCTTAGCCCAGGGGCTTCTTTGGGGCCTTGGTTGAGACAAGTTAGTGCTTGTGGATGACAGCTGCTACAGGTTAATGTTGTTTCTGAGGTGCTGAAGGCACATCAACTTTTTCACATCTCTGAGCACACAGCCTGCTTCTCTATGTAAATAAGAGTTTTCCCAAACTTACCATAACAATGTTTGTACTGTATTTCTTTTCCAATTCCTTGCTGCTGAGTTTGTGATCATCCTGAAATCCATAAAAAGAACTGAGTGAATTCAGTCATTTAAAGACTGGACAGGCTGTTAAGTGGAGAGTGGCAGTGAGGGAGAAAGTTTGGGGAAGGGGGCCAGGAGAGGGAGAAGAAAGACCCCATTGGGCCTGGTGTTGTTGCAGGGAGGGAAGAAAGTCTTGTTGCAGGAAAGACTTTTTAGATTACACACCAGGGGATTTCTGGCTATCCCTGAGAAGTTCAGATTTAACTTGTCATGTGCTGCATAGAGTAGCTTTCTGTAGTTCTTATGGACATTTTTACTCAGTCTCACCTCCACCTCATGCAAACCCAAGCACACATGCTGTCTAGGTAGTTGCTACTGGTGGAGGAAGGAATGCAGCGGGAGGCACCACAACATGGATTTACACAAGGGGGATGGGTAGAAGGGGCTAGTGTAGCAATTAACACAGCCATAAAAAATCAAGATCCTTGACACAGCCATAAAAATCAAGGTCCTCAGGCACCAAAGCCTGGATGCTGGGATGTCAGTGGGAAGTTCTAGCAGATGACAGACAGTTGGGGGTGACCTCTGAAGCTCAGACCCAAAAAGGTAAAAGATAAGGATATGGAGATGAAGTTCATTTAAGATAAATACTTAAATCAGCAACTGACTGCTAGCAAGGATGTGCCCCTCCCTTCCTGAAGAAGAGGATAAAACCAAATGCTACACCCATAAAGGGGCAGCTCTTCTTGCCCTCTTGTGCCTATTTAAATGCCTTTCCCTCTCCTGTCTCTTTCTAATAAACTTACTCTTTAAATATAACTGAGTCAATGTCTTGTGGAGGATTTTGCCACGTGACGCTGAAAGGGGAGCTCTGGTGAAGCCTTTCCCAGTGTGAATCCAAGGGCCCCAGACTCTTAAAAAACGACATCACTACGTTAACATTTCTAGCTCAAAATGAATTCTGGAATGCATGGTGGGTGAGAAGCAAAACCACAGTAAAGTCATTTCTCATGTTTTGACAAATTTTCTGACATGTAGCCCTATTGGGTGGGTGACCTCAGAGAGAAGCAGGCCTGCCCTCATTCTAGTACAGGGGGCAAAGCAGCTCACTGGTTAAAGAAGCTCTGAAGGTTGAAAACCTGCCAAATACACACCAATGTGACCACATTCACTGGTTTTGCTACAGAATCATGAAAGTAGAATGGCAGCCCTTCCTGGTGGCACAGTGGGTTAAAGCGCAGCACTAAGAAGCTAAAGCCACTTCCTTCCTGCCCCGAGGAGAGGAGGAGATCCACATGGTGAGGCAGACCTCTCCTGACCACCCGCTGCTCCCCTCAGTAGTGTACTTCTTAGATCTGCCTGTTCTGCTCCCCACTCTGTCTCTGGTGAACCCCCTCACCCTCCGCATCTCTGGCCTATACCCTAGTTCTGTATGAATAAATAAATAAATCTTTTTTTTTTTTTAAATGTAGAGTGGCATTATTATTTTGGCCAATAACTCTTTGTTATGGGGCTTCCAGCCATTAGATAGGCCCACTAGCACTCTCCCAGGAGTAAGGGTAACTGGAAACACATCTCCAGGCATTGTTAAATCCTCATCTCTTCTCCCTTTCACAGCCACTGGGATAAAGGACAAGAAGCCTCTTCCTATGCAGAAAATCCAGGGAAATGCTTATTTACCTTATTCTATACAGGATTCTTTAAGCTCTGAAATTCTTTAATCTCAGAAATTGAGATTTTTTTACACTGTGCTTTGTACATGTCTTTTCTTAACTATATATAAAATAGCCACATGTTGCATTAAGAGATTAGATTTTTCAAACACAATTTTTTTGGTCCCTTTCTTGGCCAGAGGCTGTTTTGCATATTTATGATTGTACCATTACAAACTAGCTATGATATTTCTGGGGATTTAAATAGTTAGGACACAGTTTTGTATACAGCAGTCTTAGTTCTGGGCAGATACAAACCACAGATGATTATTGCCATCTTCGCGTGAACTGACATCAGACTTTCCCGGGCCTGTACTGTCAGACAGAATGCCTTTCCCGCTCTTATTCCCGGTTTTATAGTGCATGGAGGAAGGGCAGAGGCGCCAGGGGCTCTGGAGCGTACTCTGCTGGCCAGCGCTGGAATAGCACAGGAATCTTTAGCATCAGCCCTTTCTTTATTCCGAAGCTAGAGGTACTTTAATTATCCTCAAAGTTACATTCTGCCGGACAGGTCTGGATGCAGGAGTACCCAAGTGCACTATCAGAAATTGTGAGAACGTTAGGGGAAAAGAGAGAAAGAAAGATGTTCCTCTCTTAGTAGGGAAACTTAGGCTAATACTTGGAAGTTAATTAGAAGTTTCCATCTTTAAAGAAGGGCGAATCTCTTCATTTATACAGGCATTGATAATGGATAGATAGTCATGTTATAAGTAGCATTTCTGGAAATCTACATGTGTCTTCTTTGATGCTAAATGATAACGATAAGAGATAAGGCTGGCTGTTGTGTGTTGCTTGCTAAGTCTTTTTCCTACTTCACCTCATTTAACCTTCCTAACCCTAAGAGATAGGGACGATTTTCCCTATTTTTCAAAATAGGAGACACAACTTCAGTCAAACTGGGATTGATTCAGGTCAGTTCAATTTCCGGGCTGTTCTTAAAAGTCTATCAGAATATACATGGGCAAATGCTTAGAGGTGCTTTCAGAACTTGAATCTGCTCTCCAGAAGAAAAGGAAAAGCTTTTATTTGCTGACTTATAGCATTTGCTATCTCTCACCATAGCCAATGTTAACCTATTAACAGGAAGTCAAATAGATTGTCAAATTCCTGAATATTTAATAATATTCATGTGTGGTCTCTAGGTCAAAGGAGCTCACACTTTTAGCTTCTGCTCAACCAATATCAGAATTTTAAAGTCTCCGATGAACTAATACGACAATTCAGCAAAACCTGCAGTTTAGTATGGAAGTACTCTTTTGCAGTCCTGAGATTAACTTGTCACATTTGACTAAAGAAAGACTGCCTGTCCCCTGGGCAGTCTCCTCACCAAGTTTCTGCCTTAATCATAATTACAGTGTGCTTTCAAAAGGTACTGTCAACTACAAAGTACTCTCCTTATCTCATTCTTTGCCTGCACAGACCCATGCATTGCTTATTTCCCATTTTACATGAAGAAAATGGCACTTCATTGAAGACAGATCATTTGCTCCAAGTGACAGATCAGTCTTTGAAGGAGAGCTTCAACTGAGCTGGGTCCTGAGTACAAATCCAATATTCTCACCATGAAACTATTAGTTCCCAGAGCATATATGCCCAGCAATATTTAGTGATCAAGGTTCTCCTTTGGGGTAGCTCTGGCTCAAATGGTTTACCCAGTCAGCTAAAAACTGGCAAAGTGGTTTCTTGTATGTCTGAAGCACCAGGAAGGAGCTAGGTCTGGGCCATGCCAGTGGGGACTGGAACAGATTCTTCCCTGAGTTCTACCTGGAAGCGCCTACAACCAGAACTAAGCATGCTGCAGAGAACTGACCTCTGAGCAGATGTTATCACACTTTTTTTTTTGAAGAAACCAAAACAAAAGACAAGGAAACAAATCTCCAGGGGTGTTCAAATAGTTAAGACTGATTTTCCTTTTGTAGGCGGTAGGTTAGAAGGGCAAGCTCTCAGGGAAGGGAAGTCTGTCTATTGTGTAAAGACTAAATGGACTGACCAGATCTAATTCTTTCTTGAGTTCTTCTTTTGAGTGATTCTTTCCGAGTTCCCGACAGTTGTTCTTCAGGCCCCTGTACTTCTCCTTGCCATCCCCTTTGTCTGCATTCTCCATGGCTTTATTTCCATTGATCTCCACAGAGTAAATTTCTAGTGTTTTCTGAAACAGAAGCAGAGGTGCAATATTGGTCAAGATGGGTTTTCTGCAGAGAAGTAGAGAGCTGCAGGCCTCTCTTTCCTTCCCTGTTTTGAGAGAGGAAGGCACAGGACTGGAGTTAGGTTCCCTCCCACCTTCCCTGAGCAACTTCCAGCCCTTCCCTCTTCTGTCAAAGGATTGGGTAGGCACAAGCCTGCAGATGTCTCTTGAGGGTAACATTGGGGAAGATGGAAATTTATGTCCCGTAATTTGAGACAAGCTCCCTCCCAGGACCCCAGGGTCTCACTGGTATCTTGTCCCCCACAGGGCACAGCAGAGGTGTGCCCCACTTCCTGGACAGGGGATGCACACTGAACTCATTTTAGTGCAGGTGGACTTCATACACTAAAACACATTCTCGGAAGTCCCAGTCTTGTGCCAAACTCCAAATTCTAGCAGGTTTAGGAATCACGAATCCTTTCCCATGCATTTGGACGAGGGTCTGCAGTCCACTCAGCTACCTAGCCATACAGCCACCCGGTCACGCAGAGACCTAGCCAGCCATGAACTCCCACTGCGGGCGCCCTGCAGCCAGTAAGAGATCGGAGACTAGCATCAGCTGGACCGCGCTGGGGAAAAAAAAAGTGTCTCCCTGTTTCCTTTGGTCCTCCGTGGGGCTGTCAGGGCGCGGGGGCGAACGCACCTGACGCATGGCTGGCTGTGGCTCCGCGGGCGCTGCGCGGCTCCGGGACGGCGGCACGGCGCTGGTCCCGTCGGGTGTCTGCGGTGACCCAGCGGGAACCTTTAGCTGCGGAGCTGCAGCCGCTGCCCAGAGAGGCGCAGAGGTTTTAAACACCGCGCCCGCCCCCTCTCTGGCTAGGAGGCGGGGAGGCGGCGTTGCGCGTCCTGCAGAGGCCCCGCGGCGGGCCCTACATTCCAGACTAGGTCGCCACCGGGAGGAGGGTGAGATACCGGCGGGTCCAGCCCCCTACCCGAGGGAGGGCGAACTTCTGAAAACCCAGACCTATTTTTTTATTTTTTGAACTTAAAAAGGCTTACCAATAAAAAAGCCTTCTATGCAAATACAGAAGCAAAGCAAATACGAACAGCAGCAGACCGAGGTTTCCCAAAAGCCTCTAAGTTGTCCTGACCAGAAAAGGCTCCTCGATTTCCAGAAACAGGGCCCCATGTAGGGTCTCAAACTAGATTGGGGAGTAACCCAGCAAGCTTCCCAGGAGAGTCTTAAGGACTTCGTAGGGTCCAGAGAGAAATTCAAGAATTCTGAATGACTAGTGGGGGGAGAGATGGAGAGGAGAGGTGGGTGGATAGACCCAAGGAACTGTGAAGTCAGAGTAGGCTAGGAAGAGGCTGATTGGAAGCTGTGGACTGGGTCCATAAATACCCCACTCTATCCCTGACCACCCCCTGAAGAGCCCCTGCTCCCAGGAATGCTACCCTAGTGCTCCTTTCCTCAGACCTTCCAGGTGGCTTTTCTTTTTGAAAGGGCAGAATTGAAGTCCAAGGCACCCTCCCTCTGTTGGGCAAGGGCAGAACAGTGAGTTGCTTCTTAACTAAACTAACCCTCACGAGACAGGAAGACCCCCTCTGGTTACTAGTACCCATCATAGGGTCTCTAGGAGTGGAGGGGACATGACATTTGAGTCTGTACTGGAGACCTGGTGCACTTCTGAGGTCTCTGTGTATCCTTCCAAGGGGTCTCTGTGTCCTCCTCCCTGAGTATTGTACAGGGAAAGACTTGAAGATGGGAAAGGATTTGCAAACTTTGTCTGCCATGCTAGCCCCACTGTTTGCTGGGGCCCTAAGAGGACAGTTTGCAAAAAGCACAGGAACAGCTGCATACTTTCACTTGGTTTGGCTCCTTCTGTGTTTGTGGTCAGGTACAGAGCAGAAGAGCAGGGTGCCTTGAGAGGTGCTCCTGAACTCATCTGGTTCAGTTTTCAAGAGCAAAGTCCTGTGGGGTACAGGAATGGAAGGGAAAGAGAAGAGGGGCTGATGGGGGGTGAAAGCAGAGGTTCAAATGTTCCTATGGTAACCAGTCCCTTAAGAGAAGAATGCTGTTGATTCTTGCTAGTGTCAGGTTTGGTAAAGTGTCTGTTGCTACCAAACAGACAAAGATTTTCCATTGTCAAGTTCTACAGCACTTTTCTATCTCGGGAGAGATAGAAGCACATAGCTTCTGCCATAGGCCAATCTCTACTATGGCTGTTGTGGCCCAAGGGGGAGTCTCTGATGCTGTCATGCATCTGGTGTGTGGCCTCTACCAGACAGGACAGTCTCACCCTAACTCCAGAGTTTTTCATATGCTGTATCTGACCTGTTCAACATCCACTGGGGCTGGCATGATATAGATATCCCATCATCCTTGGGGAGAAAGGTCTGCAGTTATCTGTGTTGTGGGTTGTTCCATTTTATCAGCCAGACAGTTGGAAAGCTTTGATAACAGGCACCTCCATTTCCAAGAAGGCAACAGTTCAGAGAAGGAATCTCAATAAGATCATTAATTGTATCATTAGTGTGTGACAGCCACACAACCTGCTAAAGGGCCCAGCCCCCCCACTGAGTCTCCTTCCTGTTAGAGATCTCAGTTGAATCTCCATAACTGATCATAAGGACCACTGTTTTATAGCATCTCACACTTCAGATTTCCACTGATAGTCAGTATCAAAGATTGAACTTTGGAAACCCAAATTTCTAAATCCCAATAAAGCAGGGCAGCAAGCCTGAGAGTTCATTGTCTGCAAGTATGCTGGGTAATTACAAGCCTTGTAAATTATAAACTGATTTTCTTCAGTTTATTGATGCTGTTCTTGAAAGTTGCCTTGCAATCGTAAAGTCCTGAGGGCTGGTCAACAACAACACTGGTCACTGATTTGCTGCTGAGACTCTCACTGCACAAGTCCTCATTGGGCAGATCTAGGAAATAGATTCCCCTCAGAAGCACAGCCTCACAGCTCTTTGGAGCCAGAACTGATATAGTCAACTGACCCTGACCTCCAACTTATTTTGTGACCTCCTGGGGCTGACCACAGACCAGGGCACATCTTGGGACATGTGCTTAGTTTGAGGCTAGGTTTTTCTATGTCCAGAAGAAGCCCATTCATGCCTGGAGTCTCTTCCAGGACAGTTCTGATTGACAAATGATACATATTTGGGGCAGCTGTCATGATACATGTAACTATTCCTATTCATTTTAATCATTTAATTCACTTAGTGTATTTGATTTATACTAGACAGATCGTGTGCTTGGAGAAATGGTACTAAAATGTATCATTTTCTGCCTGCAAGGAACTCACATTTAGTTGCAGAAGTTATATTAATGAATACTTGATGGACAGTGAACAGAGACAGGAAGGAATTTAACACTAAGTAGTACAGATGTGAAGAGTTTGAAAGGGTGAAAGGAAATATGGGGAAGGTGGAACACTATTTATTAGTTTGAATGCGTTATTTGGGATTTTTCTATCCCTTTGCATGTTCCGTGAGAGGTGAGAGAAAGATGGAAGGAACATTGATTTAAGGTTTGTGTTTGTCGTTGCTCAGCTCCCTGTAAGACTTCTGCTGTAGAGTCCCTGTGAAGGGGTGTCTGCCAGCTGGCTTGTGAGTTGTGAATGTGAAGATTCACGAACAGGGAAGAGATGCCAGGTGATGCTGGAAGAGGAAGGCTCACTTCCTGCCACAAGTCTGGATGAGCCAGTGTGGCTGCTGCCCACTCTCCTTCTCTCCTGAATTCCTCTCCCACACACAGGGCCATCCCCACACCTGTATCCGCCCAGTGTGCCAGGCGGTGACTGACTGTGGGAAGCAAGAACAAAACAACAAACAAAACTTCAGCCAAGCACACTTTACTGCTTCCTTGTTTCTTCATTAATAAGAAGCCCTAAAACTGATGTATGAACATCCCACAGAAAGGAACAGGCTCAGCAATCAGTCAGCATTGCTACAGTAAGGCTCTTACTGGGGCTATTGGCTCAGGGACTGTGGCGGAGAAAGCCTGCAGAGGCCCAGGGGTACATTTGGTACATTTGCCCTCTTTGCATAGATCTCCCCCAAATGTTAGGTTGTTACAGTATTCTCTCAGTGACTCACTGTGGGTAATAAGATCCTTTTCCAGAAAGCACTATTTTCCTTTTTACAGGTAATTTTAAAAAATGACTGCAGGGCCCTCCCTGGTGGAGCAGCAGGTTAAAGCACAGCACTAAGAAGCTAAAGCCACTTCAGCAAGAATTCGATCCTTGCCCACCCCAGAGGTGCTCCACATGGGGCAGCAGACCTCTCCTGACCCACCTGCTGCTCCCCTCAGCAGTGTACTTCATTGATCTGCCTGTTCTGCTCCCCACTCTGTCTCTGGTGAATCCTCTCGCTGCCCTTGCACCTCTGGCCTGTACCCCAGTTCTGTATGCATAAATAAATATATCTTTAAAAAAATGACTGCATTGAAATTTTCTCATTTTTGTGTTTTAATCTTAGGGTAAAAATCATTGTTGTCTCCATTGCCAATCATCCTTATATGTACCTCAGTCACAGGTCATTTCTCACAGAAACATTTTCAGGTAACTTGGCAGGAATGTGTTCCTTCTTCTGACAGGCCATGCATGCCTGCCACCTGTTCCTTCCCATTTTCTGCATGGTTAGGGAGCCAAAAGCAGCCACTTTCAGTTATTCATCCCTGAAATAGTTATTGGAGGCTATAACATGTGGGTAGCCATCTAGGCCTTTGCTCCAAAAGAGCTTCCAGCCTGGTTGAGGAAATAAGATCTATCACCTCAAAAATGTCAACATTAGACATGTCAAAGTTCCACAAGGTCCAACTCTGGGTGTGGGGAGTAAAGGAGGGGAGCCAGGTTCCTGAGTAAATGAGAAAGAAGGAGCTCTGTGCAATGGAAAGATGGGTACATGTTGAAATGGGCTAAGTGCAAGAGCATTTTAAAGGCTAAGTAACCTGATGGAGTTGGAGGAGG